CCTGGTTGTTTCAGCGGGCAGGACTGGCCTAGGGGTATTTTAAATTGGTTTTAGCCAAATTTTAGTAGAAGCGGCCGATTTAAATATTTATTTTTAATGATTTTTTAAAACTTTGTATTGTATTGTATTAAACTGTTTTTAACTGGCTGTAAGCCGCCCTGAGTCCTACGGGAGAAGGGCGGGGTATAAATATAATAAATAAATAAATAAATATAAGTCTAAGTGCTATTGCTGTTGCTATGACTAAAATAAGACATAACTTATGTTAGGCTTACATCATGCCCTGTTAGCAAATCAGCAGAAAGAAACAGGCTCCAAACATATCCTTCTGGATCCTGAATTCCCAGCATCTTCCTTTCCTTCTCTGCCTGACTGTCACTAGCCACTGATGATAATGTCACAACCTCTATCTGACTCCTTTTCTCTCTCAGATTCTGCTGTACCATGCACCATGTTCCCACGCACCAACATTAAGGAAAACACAAGTCAGTCTTGGATGTTTTCCCCTTTTTGCTGCCCATTGTAAACCACATTTGTCCAGAACTACCACATTTCAATCCATACTGGAATGAAACACCCTAATTTTGTTCTGTATATAGACCAGAACCTGCATGCATGGAATATTTTTTAGATCCCTAATGTAACGACATTAATTGTGAGGGAAGCATTTTTATGTCTTTAGAGGAATGAAGTAGAAAGTGTCTGTGGGTGAGAAAGAAAGATTTTAACAGCATTTAGCCTGGATAGGTGAATTTAGTTCTGAGGAGAAAAGTCTGTGCTGGGGAGCATAGAAACTATCTTGGTCCAACTGCTGCTTATCTTCTCACGGTTTCTTTGTTAAGAACTGTTTCTTTCTGTTGCTATTAGAACTGTTGTTGTTTGGATAAAAAGACTTCAGTTCAGACACAGGCAGTCTGCTGCCTTCTGGGTGTCTAATTCCTTGACATTGGCAGTTTTGCCTACAGCAGATAGAAGACCAGAACATTTGGAAGAAACCAGGTTGTCCATTCCTGGCTTAAATGTCCATTATCAGCATGTGTTTTCTGTTGCTAAATTTGCTGTTTGAGCAAACTCATATGCTTGCTGATAATGTCTGGGTTTTTTTTTCTCCTTCAATTGTGTCCGATTATTGGAGACTGTTTGAACAAGTCTTTGCAGTTTTCTTGGCATGGTTTTTCAGAAGTGGTTTATCCTTGTTTGCTTCGTGGGTCCGAAAGTGAGTAGCCCAAGGTCACCCAGCTGGCTTTGTGCCTAAGGCAGTACTGAAACTTACAGTCTCCTACTTTCTGGCCTGAAGCCTTAACCACTACACCAAAATGGTTCTTGTTTTCGGTTTACCTCTTAAGAATTGTCGTCTGACTGATATAAAGCCATCCGTTATGCCCCAAGTCAAATTTCCACACTTGTGAACTCCCCCCCCCCCGATATATTTTGTGTCCCTCGATCATTCAGATAATTGCATATCATGGTTTTTCCTTTTATCAATTAGGACAAATACAACAGGACAGCGACATTCTATTTCACAAAACCTGCTGATGGATCTAAAGTGCACCTCCTGTCTTGAAAGCTCTTCCGCCTGGTCTATAGGATTCACTGCTGTACTAAGAAAAGCATGACGCTTTGGGACAGCCTCCCTGGACATTAGCTTGGAGCAAAGACTTGACTTCTTCCATAAAAGGGAGCATCAGTCACAGATCAGTGAAGTCATTGAAAACCTGTGTGCGCACACAGATGTTTTTTTCTTTCAACCAAGAGCCCCAAAGAGATTTTTTTTGTCTCCTTTACAAGACAGTTTGGGACACAAAATTTCCTTTTCAGTGAAACACTGTGATGAGTTTGAGTAAATAGTCCTTGATTTCTGCATACAATTTTCTATGAGAAGTTCCTTCAACAATCTGGATGGAAATACTGGGGCTGAGAAAGTCTGGCATAAACTCCACAGCTTCAAAGCAATTCCCTTTTTAATCTTCCTAAGTAGAGACTAATGGAAATAGGCTTTCTTCTTTACATTGTGCTCTAAGTATTGCTTCTATTCTTTCCTTCCTGCTTACCCATTAATGAGCCATCTTCCAATAGTAAATTATCCACTAAACATCTCTTGAATAGAGTCACTTTGCGATGAGTTTCTCCATTGCATTCCATATTATCATTTGTTAATGACAAGGACAGGCTGGTGTGAGATAATACCCTCAACCCATGTAATTGGTATAGCTAAGTGTTGTGGTAGAAAATGACAACTGTAGTCAGTCACAGTGAAGTCAAAATAAAACAGGCATCATAATATCTATGAGATGATGTGATTGTGTAATTGCATCATGACTTTTGATGCAAAGTTGTGTCATTGTATGATGCCATGATGCATATATCTTTTGTCTCCCCTCCCTCTGCCCAAACTCTGATCCAATGGACATACATAATAATCTAAATTAAGTAAAATTTACAATAATGATAACCTTTTTTGCAATAAAATGTATGATTGTCACCTTAAAGTAATTGGCTATGCTCTCTTGTATGAGACCTTCATGTGGTTAATTGGTTTTCATTTTAGCATGATATTGATCCAGCCGTGATTTGTAAACCTCAGTTTATTATAACCAATGTTATGTATAAGCACAATGTCTTAATAAATCAGGGTTAAACACATCATGGATTAGTAATGTGTAAGCCCAGCCAATACCTGGTTAACATCAACTGCTCATTAACCAGATTTTAAATTATCAAATACCTAGCCTGTGTTATTATGTAAAGCTTAGTGTTTTGTGCAGCTATTATATCCCAACAGTACTATTCCAACTGTATGTTTTGCAATGGCAACAGTTGCATTAAAAATGAGCTTCAGCTGGGCACTTAAATGCATTCACAAAAATCATTCAATTATTCTTCACATATATCTCAGCTACTAAACAGATGCAAACTTAACTTTTTCCTAATAATATTTTTTTAAGACAGATCACATTGCTATTAATGCGAATCTTTAATGCTAATCTTGAATACCTTATCCTTTCAACTTTAGCCATTTTAGTAACATCTTCGGTAGAAGTTATATATTTTGCTTATATTACCTAAGCCTATTGAGGTTTAGGTCTGTATAAGATTTGCATCGTTGCCCTCATTAGCAATCAAGGGTTTTTTTTTTACACATAGCATATTTGGAAATAAAAAAAACCCAGCTGTGATCATAGAGAAAATGTTTATTAAGTGCAATACAAAGCCATCTGGTCCAAAGTGCCATCTGGTCCAAAGCACCATCTGTCAGATCTCTGAAATACTGAAACTGCATATGTACTTAATTCCATCAACCTCTACAAGCTGTAATGATCTACAAACATGTAATTTACATTATAATGTGTTTTTCATTATACATCAGTGAAAGCATAGGATGCCTTTTAAAACTTCTATTTAGAATGATTATGTTACTAAAATATGGCCAATAGATACCTCCAGGGACTCTTTGGATTATACCAAGATGTATGGCTGTTATGATGAGGGGAAAGTTTATTAATCGGTAGCAAGTTTGCAAGAAACTGGAAATCATATCAGAAAAAGAAATGGGAAGCTCTGGAGATAAAAATTCATGCAGCTTTTCCTAGGAAGAAATTATTTGGAACTCCCTTACAAAGGATCCAGGAAATCATTAATCCTGTTGAATGCTAAAGAAATCTCGCCCTTTTAAAAGACAGTCCGGGAACTTATATGATTCACAGCATTGAATATGGGATTCTAAGAGTTCAAGGTTGAAACATTTTACCTGAATGGCCCAGCTGCATTACTCTTCCTAATGGCATTGATAAGCAAATGTTGAGTTTCAAGAAATGTTATGTCCATCTGTTCTGAGAACCACACACAACTATGGGGCACCTTCAAGTCGTGGGGTGCAGGATAAGCCAGTTAGAGTTACCCACTCCTTGCGTGATGATTGGTACTGATGAATAAACTCATTTATATCAGGGCTCTCCAAACTTGTCAACTTTAAGACTTGTGGACTTCAACTCCCAGAATTTCTCAGCCAGCATGGAGTGGAAGTCTACAAGTCTTAAAGCTGAAAAGTTTGGGGACCCCTGATTTAGATGGATAAGCTGCCACATAATTGTATTCAGACTTTCTCACTGAAGAATTCCTGGGCAGCTTCTGAAAAATGCAACCACAGCCCTAACGTTAATTTGAATTTCAGTTTGTTTCCAGATGGATGGGTCTTAGAATTATTCCCCCCCACCCTGAAAAACACCTATCATTGTCAGTTTACCAGTTTTTATGTGGCTGTAAGACGTAACAAGTAGTAGGAAAATGCATGGAAAACAATGACATTTGGACTATGACTGAGGCTGTTGTAAATGCACCATAAGAGCCTCATTCAAAAGTAAGTAAATTGTTGGCTAAAAGAAACTCAGTTTATTTTGAGGGCTTCCTCTGTAAAGATATTAATTGTCCATAGCACAAGACCAAATATTTGACACTAAAGTTGGAAAGTTGCCTTAATTGCCCCCATGTTGTATCAAGGATTTTTGGGAAAAGGTTTTACAGGTAGTTCTTATTTAGCAATCACAACTGGGACCACAACTTAGTTCTTAAGTGAAGCATTTGCTAAGTGAAACTGTGTGTGCTTGTGCTCTTGCCTCAGCTGTCCTTTGCTTTATAAGGTCATAAATATGAGGATTGGTCATAAAAGTTACTTTTTCATCACAGTTGCAACTGTAAATGGTTGCTAAACAAGGCAGTTGTTAAACAAGGACTACCTGTATTACAGTAGTGGCCAAAATTGTGGAAACCTTTTGGGAAAAGTGTATTTTTGAGGTTTGATGGCTAATAACACCACTTTTTTTTGGAGTAGCACCATGAATTTATATATCAGTGGAAAGATAATTTAATCAAGAATGTAATGCAACATAGTTTGTTCAATTATCTGTACTGTATTCTATGAAAAGTTATAACCAAATAACCAGAAAAAGGAAGTACAACTTGCTTAGGTTGATATCAAGTAGCTTTCCTTCATCTGATTGTAGCCAATGAGCATGAGTGTTTAGAGAGCCAATCAGGTGTCATCTTGTTTTGGCAATGGGCCAATCAGATCACAGTAGGATTCAGTTATTGATGTCATGTATTGAAGCTGAGAGGAGGACATTTGTCAGTGTGTTATGTGATCGCTATCAAATTGGTTGGGGTTTTTTTTTCTTTCATTTAGTGAGCTTGTAAAACGTAATAAAATTAAAGAAATGGTACAAAGAGTTGACTGGTTGTCCAGAAAGCGATGTAAAATAGTATTATTAAGTGAACAAGGCTACAGTTATAAAGAAATTAAAAGAAAAATTGGTGGAAACTTAACCAAAAGTGGCATTTCTACTGTATACTTTTCCCAAAAGGTTTCCACAATTTTGGCCACTACTGTATTTTAGCAACCTTGCATCATAAAATAGGCAACAGTATTTTTGTTAATCTGCCAATGAGTTCCTATATACTGCACAGCAGGGGATTGTACTTATCATATATATAACAATTGGACTAATTCCCCTGCATTGCAAGAAATGTATGTGACAAACAGGATGTTATCGGAGCTCAGAAGAAGAAAAAAACTGAGGATGATTTTAACATCAACAAAGAGGAAACAATTCAGTTAACCTATGCAAAGTTAAAAGGAATGGTCTGAGGTAAAGATTTCAAACCAAATCCAGAGCAGCAAAGCAGATACTTATGAGTTGGACTCAAGAGTAGAACTAGCCAAGAGAGTTTCATAACCAAGTGTTCTGCTAAAAGCTCCTTTCACAAGATGCTAGGTTACCAGCTAGGCTGTGTGCAGATACCACCTGGTGGTATTTGAAAAGCAATGGCCAGTGAGTAGCTTTTGGGACTAATGGAGCACAGAGGATGCCATCTGCTTCCATCTGAAAGATGGCCACAGAATATCTTGTTGAAATTTGAGTGTCTTTTTGGCAGTTTCCTTGTGGATTTAAGCTTCATAAAATTGTCTCTCTGTCTGTCTGGAGAATGTCCCACTATTGCTGGACATTGTGCTGGTGATGTATTCTTTGGTGATCTGTTTGGTAAGGGTGCCGCCACTCTCCACTCGCTGAGTAGTCATCAGCATCCCATCTGAAATGAGGGAACCAAATAAAGATTGCATAAACAGCAACTTCCCAGTGGCTAGATTTGTAGATCATACTTAAAGCATAACATTGACCATTTGGGTTTTGTTGAGTATGTGGTGTAACCCCAAATATATTCTGGTTTATAAAAGTGCATATCCTGCTAATTCTGGTTTATTCACTAAACTCATTAAATGATGGGTTATGCACGTTAAATCTGGGTATGTGCATAAACACATGGCCATGCGTATGTAAAAGCTTACATAGTTTATTTTTTGTTTTGTAATCACTAAGCATCACTTTTACGACTTCTGCCCCTGCACTGGGATCTGTTTAGGAACACTCTAGAGCAGGGGTGTCAAACTGCCGGCCCACGGGCTGGTTTCATCATACCAAAGCCGCGCCCACCCCATTGCCAGCAATGCAAAAAGAGTCTCGATACGTCGCGACACGTCACATGATGTGGCGAGTTTGACACCCGTGCTCTAGAGCCATTTATCTGATACCCCCTAGACCTGTTTAGGCACTTGGGAAAGAGTTAAGCCCCCTTAAAGGTAGTAAATACTCCAGCCCTTCCTGAAGCCATGCTTCTGATATCGTCTAAAAGACAGACCTCTTTCCTGTGAAATCATCCATAACCTAAAATTTTTTACATATAAAGCAACACGGACATTTGTCTTAAAAGATCTCATGGGTGCAACTGCAGGCACTCAGTACTGTTTGCGTGATTAATATAATCCTTTCCAAAGTGCCTGAATAGTGTTGGGGTGCTGGTCTTGGTGTGCTTTAAATAGAAGCTGAGTTCTCTTGATAATATTGGGCAGAAGTCTCAATTTAATTTTTGTATCAAAAAAGCAATTATTTAACTTAGAAATAACTGCTCTGGTCTTAGCAGTGATAGGAGAGTTTCCTCATATTATGAAAAGAATACAGTACCATTCAGTAAAGCTATGTATGAAAAGGCCAGTTCTTCCATCTTTCTAGGGGGGGAGAAATCTCTTTATTTTTTTATTTTTATTTTTGAAGTAGATTGGAAAACAGGGAAAGAGGCATAAAGGACCACATTCTCTTAACGTCAACATAAACATAACTTCAGGAATAGACTGGATTCCTTTCATCCTCATTTAACTATTTCCGAGTAAAGATTTAAACCTTCCCCTTGTGATCCCAGAGTAGAGATTCAGGTTTGTTCTCCTCTCAGATGAATCCCAGGTACTATTCATTAACACTGTCCCAAAGATCTCAGCGAGGTCATTGAAAATCAAGGCATCCCCTATTTCCATCATTCCCTTTTTTTACCTGCATATAAAGGATCCAGTAGGGAGTGAGTGATGCTTGTTTGGGTGTTGTATTCTGTAGGGAGATTGAATACTTCCTCCCTGGTGAATTGATGTGTTCCATATTGAGAGAATACTCCTGAAGCAGAAAGGATTGGGGAGGGGGGGGGGGAGAATGTAATTCAGTGCTTGGATATTTAATTCTCATTCCATCTAATGTTATAAAAAAATGACTCTGAGAAAAAATACAAGAAGGTGGTGTCTAACTTAAAGCAAAACATTTGTTTTCACAGAGCCATACAAAGCTCTGTTCTTTCAAAGACCAAGATGACAAAAATTTCTGTTACTTTATTTCCAACTAATCTTCCTAAATATTCAGTTCATTTATTATTTCTCATTTATTATCTGTCTCCCACTGAATTAAAATAGGGATGGCAACAGCTTCAAAAGTAGAAACTTGTAAAAATAATTTGCATTACCATGAAGATCAGTTTTCTACTCAGTAAGAAAACATAATTTAGATCAGGGGTAGTCAACCTTGGCTCTTTTATGACTCGTGGACTTCAACTCCCAGAATTCCTGAGCCAGCACAGCTGGCTCAGGAATTCTGGGAGTTGAAGTCCACGAGTCATAAAAGAGCCAAGGTTGACTACCCCTGATTTAGATTATTTAAAATGTCTACCCACACATGATGTTAAGGAAAAACTGATTTACTGTTCAAAATGCTATATACTCCCATATATTACATTTACACAAATTGGGTTATGAGAACCCAACTTTGACACATCCATATTACCCTAGCTTTGGGTTTTGGGTGCCTTACCAACTATTCTTTAAGAACACATTCACATGAACATTGTTTTTAATTTCAAAAGACTTATAGAGCTGCTTATATTGTAACAACAACTGAGGATAGTGCAGAAAACATTAAAAACAATCAGAATACAAAGTCAATGAAAACTACAAAAACCCATGGAATCCTGGGACCAAACTTTCCCATATATCTAAGTATCACCTTACTGGATTCCAGCCTCGTCCTATCCAATGTTTGTGGCAAGAGCTAGCATTTCCAGAGCTTCTAGAACAGGGGTGTCAAACTCACAACATCACGTGACGTGTCGCAACGTATCTCAACTTTTTTTCCATTGCCGGCAACGGTGTGGGCACGGTTTCGCCATGACGCATCCGTCCCGCGGGCCGGCAGTTTGATACCCCTGTTCTAGAAGTTAAGGAGTATGGGGGCCTGCTGGATCTCTGGGAAAAGGGTGTTCCACAGTACAAGGGCAGCTGCAGAGAAGGCATACTTCCTAGGCCCCACCAGAGAACAACATTTAAGGAAAGCAACCTGAAGTATGTTTATCCCTATCTGTTCTTCTGATCTCCAGCCCAAAGCTAAGGCCATTGAATTTTGGGCTTTTCACACCTGATTGGAATGGGCAGTGTTTTACATCTTCTCTGGAAACCAGCTGTGTTACAGGTACAATCTTCAGAACTTCAGAGATTACTGTGATGGCTTAGCAAAGCTTGACGTCTGCTCAGTTTTTATTGACCACTTCTTACTAGTTCTTAGTAGTGACACTAGTGATATAGAGTCCTAGTGGATAATTACTTAAACATGAGTCAGCAGCATACGGCAGTAGCCAAAAAAGCCAACACAATCCTAAGTTGCATTAACAGAGGGATAGAATCAGGATCATGTGAAGTATTAGTACTGCTTTATAAAGCCTTAGTAAGACCACACTTAGAATACTGCATTCAGTATTTGGATCCTGCATCCAGTATTTTGGTCATAAAAAAAGATGTAGAGGTCTGGAAAGAGAGCAGAAAAGGGGGGGGGGGTGGAGGCTAAAACATGAACAGTTGCAGGAATTAGGTTTGTCTAGTGAAAAGAAGGAGTAGGAGTGACATGTTAGCAGTGTTCCAATACTTAAGGGGCTGTTACAAAAAAGAGGGGGGGATCAATCTATTCTCCAAAGCACCTGAAGGCAGGACAAGGAGATGGAAACTAATCAAGGAGAGAAGCAACCTAGAACTAAGGAGAAATTTCCTAAAGTGAGAACAATTAACTAGTGGAACAGCTTGCCTTCAGAACAGCTTGCCTCCAGCTCCATCACTGGAGGCTTTTAAGAAGAAACTGGACAACCACTTGTCTGGAATCGTATATGGTCTCTTGCTTGTGCAGGGGGTGGACTAAAAGACCTCTAAGGTTCCTACCAACTCTGTTATTCTGTTATCCTGCTCTCTTCCAGTTGCTGGCAATTCGCCTTTGTGGCCATTTCAGGTTAGGCAGCAGGAGTAATCAGGCACCACCCATTTGCCCATGGAACACCAGACAAGACCAGAGCCAGCACTGGTTATTCCTACAATTTGTACTTTACAATATGAAAGGAAAGAGGAACTGAACTTTTGTATTTTTTTTACACCTTGGTTGACAATGTGCCCTTAACAGCACACCAAGAAGAACAGATGATAGAAATACTTTGGCACCAAAGCATACCTGCGTCTTGAGATTCAATGGTGATAATGCCCTCTCTTTCAGGGCCAAAGCCTTGAGTGGTCTTGGCTTGCACTTTGAACTTATATGGAACATTTTCACTCAGGTAAGGCACTGTAAGGGTGGTCTCTGGGTTATCCCCCTCCACATAGATAGTCCTGGGTTCCTCTGAGCAGACAAAAATAAAAACAACAGGTAGGAAGCTTAAGGAATAATACATATCCACCCATCCCCTCCTCTTGCCAGATGCTTCATTTCAGGTGATTTTGGTTATTTTATGCAGCCTGGGGCTGTCCCGCTTTCTTCTATAAATTGGGAAATGCTATGCTTTAGCCGGGGAAGCGCTGCAACTGAGGTGGGATGTGTTTCAAAAGGCTAACCTACCTCCACCTTGCAGGGTCTCACAAGTGACCATGTAGCCCAGAATTAAGCCATTGGGTTGGCGGGGTCTCTCCCAGCTTAGCTGAAGCGAGTCTGGACTCAGGGCTGTGAATACGAGAGGCCCTGGGGCACTGGGAGTGCTCAGGGTAAATGGTGACCCTATCAAATAGAGAAGAATGGTCAGAGCCCTGTTAAAGAGAAAATCAAACCAGTAGCAAGTAGAAGTTCAAAGATTTAGAACAGTGAAGCATTTGGGCTTTTCAAATATCTTACACATTTGTTGCTTTGTTGAATCAAGAAAACTAACCCAATTAAACTTGGAATTTACAGGAACTGAAATACCACTCAAGATTCATATAATAATGGATGAATGTAGAATTGGCCAGATTTAAGTCCTTACTCAAGTTGACTTGGCCCTCTCTCTCTCTCTCTCTCTCTCTCTCTCTCAGTCTAACCTAACCTATCTTAATTTTAAGAGAAGGAGATGACACTTCCCACTTCCCAAAAGAAAGGTGGAATATGAATAAAGACTACATGCATTGTTTTCATGCAGAGTAAGCACAGATCTACTTCGAACCCCTTTTCCAAAAAGTGCAGCTCAAAAATCAACATTTGGAAAAGTAGTAGCATATCTATGAAATTATGAACACTTCAAAACAATTACCTGGCACAGGACTGAGAGGGCTGCGTGGATCCACCTGTGACTCAATAGTTATCACACCTTCTCTTTCTGGACCCCATCCCTCATCACTTTGGGCCTTCACTTTGAAGACATAGGAGTGGTTAGGTAACAGATCATCCACCACCACAGAGTTTTGCATTGGATTGGGAATTGTAAGTCGTTTTATTTCGCCTAAGAAATAGGAGAAAAAAACAGCTGTCAATCCCACAAACTACGATGATCAAAATTGCAGTTTTTATTGGCAGAATAGGCACTGCTAGTGAATGCAGTAGGCTGAATGCTACAAGTCACATCTTGAGGCAACCATGTGTATGATCTTTTGTTCAAAAACAATTGTGAATGTTTCGTGTAAAATTCTTCACAGATGATCAATGCCCTTCATTTTACGATACTTCAAATGAAAAACAGCATCCTTGTCTGTTTTGTAACACATTATCTCAGAGAAAATGAAAAGAAAACTAAACTTATCAATTCTGTCTGTGGATTATTTGGGAATTAAGGATTTTACACATTTTGAACTTAGTGTTTTTCATCAGGACCCAAATTCACATTACCCCAGTGGTGGGATTCAGCCAGTTCGCACTGGTTCAACAGAACCGGTAGCTAATTTTTTGTTGACTTTGGCAAACCGGCTGAAGCCCTAGCCCTTTTTTGCAAGGCCCAGAACAGACCTCTGGAAGTGTGTGGATGCTGCTTCCGGAAGTCCGTTCTGGGCCTCGGAGGCCCAGGCCCAGAACAGACTTCTGGAAGTGGCGTCCACGCGAAGAATCGGTTGTTCATGTATTTGAATCCCACCACTGCATTACCCCTATTCCAGTCAAACAGCTCTCTTCTAATAGATCCTTGGATGATATATTAGGAAACAATATTTATTTATTTATCAAATAAATAAACTGTCCATTCCCCTCACATAGGGTCTATGAGGATTCTGCCCCTGCTATGGTGTGTGGAAACATCTGTAAAACATCAGGACAGAGAAATCTGAGCAGTTTAGAAACACCATTTTTGGGGGGGACGGGTGTTCCATGTTACAAACCATGTTCTGATCACTCTAGAATGGTGCCTTTTGACAAAACAGGATTTTAGGTATATATTTCCAAATCCCACTTTCACCACAGAGAGAGCTTCACTGACCTCCATTGAGAAGCTGGTATTGCACACTGTATCCTTGTACTTCTTTGTCACAGTGGGGTTCCTGCCAGCTGACTTTCAGGGAGGTTGGCCCCAGGGCAGAGAACACCAAGCGAGTAGGAGTGTCCGGAACATTCAGAAGCTGCATTCTAGAATCTGAGACAGACCAGAAAATAGCAGGATTAGATTTGAAGGCAGGGAAAAGACCAAATGCAATCTTCCACATCAGAATGTAGCCAGAAGAAATGAGGGGAACAGCATTGGGCACTGAATGAAAAAAGTATCTTGGCTGCATTACCTGGTAACATATAGCAGGAAAAGAAGAAGAGATTTTGGTTTGTCAGGGAAGCAATTCTTTTTCTTGTCCCCAGGTTCTAGATCCCCAGGGCATGGCAAGGTTCCAGCTGGAGGTTAGATTAAACTCACCCACCCAGAAAAACCAGGGCCTAGTCAGAACTTCATGGACATCTTCAGAGTGAGTGGCCTGGCCTTCTGAGGCTGAGGAGGACAAAATGCACCCTGGACTGTTCATTTTGCAGAACTTTTGCTACTCTCTAAGCCTGGTTGTTTGCTTGCAGACATTTCATTACCCAACTAGATAACATCATTAATGTGAGTGAGTGGGGGTTTTGCTATCTTTTTATAAATAGTAGTTTGCCTTGACAGTTTGGATGGGCGTGTAATTTCCTCCTTGGTGGTTCCTTGATTAGAATATCTTTTTTTGCCTGATTGTTTGTCTTGTGTTAATCCTTGCTTATCTGAATATGGGCTGATGGAGAGAATGTATTCTAGTCTTTTTGTTTCATTCCTAAGCTTTTTATTGTGGGGTTTTTTTTTTTGAACAGTGCATAAATATGGTTTATTTCTGTATGTCTACCGATGGCTGATTTGTCTGAATGTCCTAGGAATTCCCTAGCATTTTTCAATTTGGTTTATGAAGTTAATAGTTTCCCAGTTCAAAGTGAGAAACTGAGTTGGCTGTATTGTGAGATTAAGGAGTTGTCTATGGAGATTCTCAGTCATCCAGGTCATAGTTGCCCCAAAGGTGCTTTTTCAAGAGGCAACTGGACTTCGTTTTTTCTTGAAGATGTTTCGCTTCTCATCCAAGAAATTTAAGATTAAGGAGTTCTTGTTGTGTCTTTCCACTGCTAGTTGGTGTTTCTGAATGTGCTCTGCTAGTCTTCTGCCTGACTAGCCTACAAAGTGGCTTTTGAAGTCCTTACATTGTTGTTGTAAATGACTCCTGCCTTTTTTTTTCTGTTTGTTTTGCCCTGTTATTCCAAATGGGAAGGGAACAATTAAATATAGTCATAATGGTAGTCGTTCTGCACCCTTGAGAAGTGGAAGCCAAAATTATATAGCAATTGTTATTTGAACTGCAGCAATTCCTAGAATGTCTCCACTAGGAGACATGGAATTTAGGCAGAGCAGTCAGGAGGGAAAAATCTCCTAAAGCATTTTGCTTTCTCCTTAAAAGATTAGACTCATCTGGCCAGACAACCCCTTCCTTTTGTGGAATAAGAAGTTTCCCTCTCTTCCAAATATTTATTTTGGATGCAAGCAAGGTGCTTTCCTTTCTACTGAGGACTAGGTAGTTTCAAAACCAGAGGGAATAGCTGTAATTATAAGGTTGTGAGCTATAATAAATGTAAGCCATGAACCTCAGCAACTCCTTAAACTATATAAATATGCTTCAAAAGGAACATATTGCAATATTTGCCTGTTACGGTCTGGGCAAATGGACATGGAGACACAGAAGAATTGCAGATTGCTAAGGATGCTGCCTGAGCACTAACTCCTTTGAGTATGTAATATAGTAATTGAAGTGATGTAGTTAGAACATGAAAGTCATCAAAGTCAAAGAGATGGAAAGTTAGAAGGCAGACCAAATTAGCACATGCACCCAAGCAGGTCTACAAGCAAAGCCACTTCAAGGAATTTAACACAAATAAATTAGCAGCTTATGAGATTTAATCACTGTAGCTGGATCAAACAGCCTTGCAGATGATCAGCCATGCTATGCCATTTGTTGTACCTAGGTATTTGGAAATCCAAGAAGGCCCATCAGTCATGACTATAGAATCCCGAGCATCACTGCTGTCAGAGTAACCCATCACATTTGCCCTCCTAAAGCCCACATCCTGTGGGATCTGGGGTATCCTTCTAGTTTCTTCATATATGGGAGAGAAAACATTCTTGGATGGGTCTAAAGGACATGCCAAAACAGAGAGAAAGAAAGACACACCATTGAGAGTACCAGAAAAGATTGCAGCACCAACACCAGGCACAGTGACCAAAGGAATAGCCTGAGAAAAAAGGAATATTTTTTTCCCTATCTAATGCTAACTGGTATGAGAGACTAAGTGAGAGAGAAAGAGCTCAACTAACTGAAATCTCCTTCTGATAGAACATTGAACATTCTCAAATCACTAACAGATTAACACACATTAGTCACCTACCATGTCCAGACACCGTGGTATACTCTCTTGTTAACGATGAGTTTCCGATCACTCTTCTCTCGTGGTATACATGTGGACTTAGATGATTTCGGGTTAAACTTCCACTACCAGCAGGGAAGGCAATATCCAGTCGGCCATTCATCAGATGTTCTGGAAATTATTCAATTTGCTGCAGTTAATATCCATAACCAGTGATATGCATCTTAGCCAAGTTAATTAATATGAGATTTAACATAAAGATATCTTAGAATGCTTGGGCTCACAGTCTGTGCTAATAATGTGGTTTTGTTTTTATTTAGTGAACTCAAATACTACGGTTCATATATCAAGATTTATGGTAGCATGCTGTATGAAATCAGCCAACTGTGGTTACATTAACCAATCCATGTTTAAACAAAATAAATGGCTCAGTAAGATATGTGAATTCAAAGTTTCTAGTATCAAAATGTAACCAAGTGCCTCCAATAATATTGAATTCAGTTGTATTATTTCCAACCAGATATGTTGGTTGCAGATTAATGGGATTCAAAGCTGAAGACATCTGAAGAGCATCAATTTGGGAAACATTGACCTCAGCTTTATTCTGCTCCTTATCTATAAAGTACATTTTGGGCCTCCATAAGAACCAACATCCCTTGTGTCACATCACTTAAACCCACATTGTACAAAGAAACATTATCAGAATTAAACAAACTGAAAGAACCAATAGTAATAGAGCAAGGGTTAGTTAGGTCAGAAGATGGCTTCATGAATGCCAAATGATGTACCAAATACTAAAGGACATTATATTCAAGTAATGCTATAATTGTTTGAAGAAGAAAATGTTATTACTACTTTAATCCACTTTAAAACAAGCAATCATAAGTTCCAGGCTCTTGGAAAAGACAAGATATGACTATAATTGCTAGCAATTTTAGAGCATTCATTAAGTTCCTGTAAAACTAATATACTCAAATATCTGTCTGAATAATTAGAGACCCTTCATATTCAGAGGCATTATATATACAGGAACCAGATATTAATAACACGCACTCTGGCTGGTCATCTCTTTTTTCTGTTTTCAAGATCTTCAATCAATTCTGTTAACCACTATTGGAGATAATGAGGGCAAGATGGAGAGACATTCTTAAATGAATTATTACAGCAAATGCTCAGGGGAAGGCATTAGTTCTGTCTCAACGGCTCTAAGAATGTGCTGAATTTTTAATAGTTGTTGGAATCATTGGTTGATTACACAATGTAATACCCCCTATTTGGCATTGTACAGATACTTAGGGCAATAGGTTCCATCAAGGAGAAGCTGTCACATGAAACAGCTGGAACATACCAGGATGGTGAAAGTTCACCCAATTTAGCATGCTGAAGAAAATCACAGTTGTGAGGTTGCTGTAGCAGACAACACTATTTTCTTATGCTAATGAGATTTCAAATGGGGGGAGGGGAGTTCAAAAAGTTGCTGGGGGCGTTCTTCAGAGATGAATGCCAGCAATGGAAAAGGTTGAAGGAAAGAATGGGTGGCACCATCCAGTCTATCTTCTGACCACCCTTTTCCCCCCTCTTTTTTCCACTTCTTCTACCTGGTAGGAGTAGGAACTCTTATTAGATGTCTGAATTGATGGTTTGCAGAGGATTTTTGAAATTAGCATGTGAGTTACATGAAGGGCAGAAATAGGCAACAATTCTCTCTCTTTGCACTTCCATTCTGTTTCATTCAATTCCATAGCACTGACTTTGGAGTTAATAACCAATCACAAGCAGTATTCCATTACAAATGCTAAATGTATCATGCCAATAACATGTGCATGTAGCTTGTAGAGGGGTAGCTTGAATAAATTATATTCCAAGGCCCTGGACTAGGATGAGACATCATGGTTACTGGGAGGGAAGAAGGTGGCCATCCTTCACCTGGTTGGGGCTGGGAAGTCCCATTCCTTGGTAGGCTGCCGCTGGTTGCATCACTGTCCACTAGCTCAGAGGGGGTGCTACCCTCATGGAGGAAACCCTCTGTGTCCGAGGAAAAGCAACTGCTGTCCGAGTAACGAGGGATCAGTTCTACTGGGAGCCTCCAGGTGACGTGACGAAGGTCCAGCTCGTCCCCCAGCAGCTGCACATATTTCCGCCGAGAGCCTTTTGGAACAAGTGAAGGACTTGCGTTGACACAATCGGAAGAGTGCAGGAAGCGCCATGAGGGGTACAAAGCAGCTGGTCCATCACCTGCAAGCTACCTGCAATCCTGCCTTAGTGTCTCCTAGCAGCACTTTAGAGGAAAACACAATACTCAAGGACTCTTGTCGCCCTGAAAGGAGTCTGTATTTGTGCTCAAAGTGGAGACCTGAGCAGAATCCATAAGGCCCACTCTCTGGTCCATCACCTGCAAGCTACCTGCAATCCTGCCTTAGTGTCTCCTAGCAGCACTTTAGAGGAAAACACAATACTCAAGGACTCTTGTCGCCCTGAAAGGAGTCTGTATTTGTGCTCAAAGTGGAGACCTGAGCAGAATCCATAAGGCCCACTCTCTGATTCTTACCAATAATAATAGAATTATGACATCCCATCTTTTTTAAAAAAGCATCTAGAATCAGCAGATCATAGGACTGGAGGTGGCCTCCCTTTACCCTCTACATTTAATAAATGTAATGTTGGATGAGAAATAAATAAAAACAATCACAATTAGGTATAAAATCAAATTAGCCACGAACTAGAATAAGTAATCTGGATATCTCTGAAGCAAGATATGCAGCAACAGGGAGCAAGACCCAGTTTCTCAAACTGCCTTATTTGCACTAAGTTCATCATTAAGCCTTAGTTGTCATCAGATACAAGTAGTCTTCAACTCACAACCATTAGTTTAGTGGGCAAAGTTACAACAGCATTGAAAAATGTAACTTATGCCCATGTTTCACATTTACAACTGTAGCAGCATCCCTGTGGTCACCGATCAAAATTCAGATGCTTAGCAACTGACCTGTATTTATGACAGTTGTAGTGTTTTGGGGTTATACCATCACCATTTGTGACCTTCTGACAAGCAAAGTCAATGGGGAAGCCAGATTCACTTAATAACCATGTGGCTTAATTAACAACTACAGTGATTTGCTTAACAATTATGGCAAGAAAAGTCATAAAATGGGGGCAAAACTCACTTAACGACCATCTTGCTTAGCAACAGAAATTTTGGGCTCAACTGTGGTTGTAAGTCAAGGACCACCTGTATTGATTTCTTTAATTCAATGTATAGCAGGACTCCAAAATCTACATACTGTATATCCCATGCAGAGTCACCTGAAAACAAGTTTCACGGAGTTATTAATTCAGTAGGATATACTCCCAAATATGCATGCATAAAGAGTTCAGTGTAATAATAGAAGGGGGAAATCATTTTCAAACTTTCTGTATAATATCAATAACTTATAAATGGCCCTAGCAATACAGCAGCTGAATCATGCTGCATTCAGTTGTGGTCACGCCCAAATAAATCCATCTATGCATTACCGCAACCTCAAAATCACATTACTGTATTATCCTTATCATGAATCTACACACAAACACACACAGGCATACACACAGCAGAACCGAAGCATTGGTTTATAGAATAAAAGATCAGAGCATCACTGTGCTTGCTGAAGCATTTTTTTTCAAATTGCGAAATTACATACAGATAGTTGACTTATGACTGCAGTTGGGACCAGGATTTCATTACAATTAAATGAGTCACACCCAATTTTAATCCTTTTTTGCCATGAATATTAAGTGAATCACCGCAGTTGTTAAGAGAATCACATGCTTGTTAAGCAAACCTGGCTTCCCCCATTGACTGCTTGTCGGAAGCCAGTTGGGAAGGTTACAAATGGTGAGGACCCTGGAATGCTGCAACCAGTGGTGGGATTCAAATAGGTGAACAACTGGTTCTCTGTGTGGATGCCGCTTCCGGAAGTCCATTCTGGGTCTGGGCAACAAAAAAATTAGCTACCGGTTCTGCCGAAGTGGTGCGAACCGGCTGAATCCCACCACTGGCTACAACCATTGTAAATACAATTCAGTTGCCAAGCACCAGAATTTTGATCACACGACCATGGGGCTCTGTGACAATTTTAAGTGCAAGGAATGGATACAAGTCATTTTTTTTCAGTCCCATTGTATCTTTAAAAGGTCATTAAACAAATGATTGGTAAGTTGAGATCTAGCTGTAAAATGATCAGGTTCTTTAGAACTCTTGAGCTATATGGAAATTAGTGTATCCACCCCTCTAGTAATCAGTGTTCAATGTCGGAAAATTATAATTGTGCCTTGTGGATGGGCTAAAGGGGCAGCTTCATTTCAGCTCAAGACAATGCAATTTTCTAGTATCTGGAGTGGTTTATTCTCAAATATGTATACATTGAACAAGACTAATTAAGAGATAAGTGAAGTGGAGCCAGCTACTTCATGGAAGATTATTTCCAAGGCTGAACATAAATAAGGCTGAAGGAACAGCTAAAATGGAAAGGAATGGCCAAGGTAATGCTTGGGAGAACTATCACTCTGCAGCAGACAGACAATGTCCAGAAAGAACAAATTATTTAAGAAGAGCCAGAACGGGGGTGGGGGTGGGGGTGGAGTGGGGGGAACCTCTATTCTTTGAAAATGAACAGGAAATTTTGCTATTTGACCTTTGAAAACAGATCATTGAGCATCTTTACATATGCTTAACACATCCTAATGTGGGAAAATATTTTAAGATAATATCACTGATTATTTTCAATGATAATTATTAGAATATTTTATTATGTGTTCCCATCAAGATCTTTTGCTTTAAAAATGCACAATAGTTCCATGATCTGCATTCCTATGGAATCCATAGATATAAGCACTATGTCTGTTCTTGTTCAAAAGATTCAAAAAATTTTATGTCAAGGAATAGAGAGGGGGTAATTTCCAGAAGTATGCTTTGGTCATGACTAAGAATTGGAACTAAATGCTGAATCAAAACCAAATGCAAAATACAGTATACTTGAATCTTGAAATAAATCATATGCCTAAATACAACAACTTATGAACTGGTTCTCATGTATGCATCGTTTATCTAACCCTCAAAAAGGCAAGATTTTGAAATGATGGGCAGTATCCTTGTCTATCTACTACCCAGGTCAAGATGTTAGTAGACTACAGGGTCCCATGGCTTAAACGGCATGGATTGACGGGATTAAGAACTGATTTACCAACATAAGCTCCTCACCTCTGGTGTAGATAATAAGATATGATTGTTAGTCTTTTTGTCCTGGTTTAAATTATTATTGGTTTTGGAAGGCATATTTTGGTTTTTGGATTTGTACTACCTCAATGACTGATAGCTAAAACCCCTGCTAAAAATGATGAAATAATTAGTTGCCATAACTATTCCTAGTTATCCCTAACCTGAAACTTTCATTCCCGAGAAACAGATGGCAAAGGCATTCTAACAAGTCCAGGGGTCTAACGGTGGACTTGTGCCATGATTTTGGGGTTAGATAGAAGTGATAATTTGCTATTTTGCTACATTAGAGGAAAATCTACGAAATGCAAGTACAAAAACAATTTACAGTCTTGTTTTGCTATCAGGGGTTGATAAACCATCAAACAGAAAATTTGCACTTCAAAAGTATGTGTATGGATATTCAGAACTATGAAACCTCCACACAAAACATTCCTCAGGTTTTTTTTTAGAGAATCTAATAGATTCCAAGGGAAAGCACAGGTCAAGTTTAGCATCTTAATTTCTATATGGACCAACCAGATGCCTCCCGATGCATATGAGTGCCTGGATTATAGCATCCTGGAATTGATGTGTGTATGTATGTATGTATATATAGATGTCTAGAAGGTGCTCTTAAGGCTCTTAAATAGGTTGGACCTGATAGCCTAAATGGCTCCTTTGGACTTCTTGTTTCTACTTTTCTTGCCTTGACATTTTCTTGTAGAATTTCTAGAAGCAATAATACTTGCTCTGCCTTAAGGTATGTTTGCTTCTAAATAATAGGAAAAATATTTGCTAGCTTGTTAATATGGTGCTCTGCGTGTTCAAGTTGTTTTGTTATTGCTCTTATATATACATTTTCTCTTATATGTATACATCCTTAAAAAATGGCCATCAAATTTTTTTGCAAGCTAAAATGAAGCATACTGTACCAGAGTCATCTGAGACACTGGGGTGCTTGCTACCAGCTGGTGAACGCAATACATCTGTGCTGTACATTAGATAGCTGTCATAGTCTTCTCTTCCTTGTGCATCAATTATTGGTACATCAGGAATGATAGGAACTGCAAAAAGAAAGAAAAAGAAAGAAAGAAAGAAAGAAAGAAAGAAAGAAAGAAAGAAAGAAAGAAAGAAAGAAAGAAAGAGAAAGAGAGAGAATATGAGTTAGATTTTTGATACATTCATACATAATGAATCCCAATTTTATATCAAGACACTGTTTGATCTGGTACTTTGATCTAATATCAGACAGTTTCACTGGAGAAAACTACGTCAGTGTTGAAGCTCTTTAATTTTAAAAAAATGTAAGTTAGATAACAATTCTGGAATGTGGTTGAATAGTGTGATATATTTAGCACATATCATTAAAAGTAAGAATATTGATAAACAGCTTGATCCCTTTTACTAGTGGTGTCACATTAAATACAAAATATATGCCACAATGTATAGTTCTCTAAATGTAGCCTATAACACTAATTGTATAATACCTACACAATAGAAGCACAAATTCAAAGGAATATCTCTTAACAATGCTGCATTAGTTCACGTCCAAAACAAAAATTCTGTAATGCAGAAACTTGACCGTACACATTTGGAGAGCTATGATAAAAACTCACTGGACATAGGGCGTTTTGGCTGTGTAGCCAAATTAATAGTAGCTTCTCTTTCTGGCCCCCATCCAGCTCCATTCTTGGCCTTCACTGTATAGCGGTAAGGCTGTGATTCCCGTAAATTTTCAATCAGAACCATCCGCTTCTTCAGCTCCTCCACCAAGACTTTCTTTACGGGGCCAACGGGTCCTACAAAATAGAAATAATTTGGTAAGTTTGGTAAGTTTTCCTTTTCATAGGTTGGTGATTTGAACTCTCAGCACTGAGGCTTGTTTCTTGCCTTTTCACCACCGTGTCACTGCATTCACAGTGAGTTCTGGTTACATAATATGCAATATGACTCAATGGTCCAACTCTAGTATAATATGCGTATGTGCATGATAGAGTACTTTATGAGAGTGGAATAGCCTTCTACTTCTTATACATGAGAAACTACAGCAAAATCCATTGCTTCCTATCTGAAGATAAAAAAGTATCCAACAGAAGAGAATGGAAATGTGTACTGTGCAGTGGGTAGCTATCCTTATCATTATAATAATTAGTTTTTTATCCAACCTTTTTTTTCATACATTTGGTCAACTCAAAGCAGTAAATATATGCAATACTCTTGCCTCCCATTTTCCCAATAGTGTAACAGTCCTGTGAAGTGAGTTGGGCTGCGAGAGAGTGACTGGCCCAAGGTCGCCCGGTCAGTTTTCCTGCTTACGGGAGGACTAGAACTCACGGTCCCCTGGTTTTTAGGCCAGTCCTTTCACTACTGCACCAAATGGGCTCTCAATGTTGTACTGGATTGGCAAAATCAATCTAATAACCTCTTTTCAATAGGCAAAGGGTTTTATGTGAAGAAATAAGCGCCATAAGGGTAGAGCAGCCAATATATCCTGTCAAACTGGCGACCTGTATCTTACAAAATTGGATACCCTGAAGTACCAGCAAGAACAGTGCTTTTTTTTCTAATGGGATTGAGCCCAAAATCTCTTTGTAAAGCAAAAATTTGAGAAGTAAATTTACAGAGAGGAGATAACATTGAATGATGGATGTCTAGGCACTGTGGGGACTATCAGATAGTGTGGAAACAGTTGAATTTATGGAGTGAAAGACAAAGACAAAACACCAGGAATGTTGTAAAACATGGGCTGCAAAATAAACTGCATAAGACTGTAGGATCCAATCTGGGTCGGTCACATGGACCAGAGGTTTAGTCTTCCAAACTTTTGGATTCATGTTGGAGCCCATCCTCAGGTAACTTCATTCTAGCCCAGTGGTTCTCAACCTTTTTAATGCCGCGACCCCCCAACCGGTCGTAAGTCGAGGACTAAACCGGTCGTAAGTCGAGGACTAAACCGGTCATAAGTCAAGGACTACCCAACCGGTCGTAAGTCAAGGACTTTCCCTGCCCGGGAGCGCCGTGCATGCGTGGTTCCACCCCCTGCGCCGGCCGAGGCGTAGCTGGCAAGCGGCAGAGACGGAGCAGGCCGACCACCAGCTGGCCCAGCTCAAGGGAGGTAAGGCACCCACCGGAAAAGGGGAAAAAAATGGCGGACAGCCTTGCTTGGCGACCCCCGTGAAATGGTCGATCGGCCCCAAATGTGGTCATGACCCATAGGTTGAGAACCGCTGTTCTAGCCTCTTTAGTGGTGACCAACCCAGATTGGATTCTACAACACTATTCTGGGACACATATATTTAACTTCATTCATGTAATAAGACTGTTCAATAAGAAGTCTAAGCAAGAGAAGCAAAGTCAAGCTTCACACACAGCGCAACCAAGTGTATCCAACCTAGGGAGAGATGGGTGTGTGTTATACTTCCTATCATCGCCATTTGGGGGGTTTTATAGTCTGCAGCTTGGATTAAAAGTTTTGATATCACAGGTTTCAAGAGCAATAGCCCCCAGTGATGTCTTCTAAATGCATGCAACTGAAATACTACCATGAAGATATTGAACCGGTTAGCCAGGATACATGATTTTTAAGGATAGCCCACAGAATTCATGCTTACTGTTTTCCTCGTTGACGAGTCCATAGCTGACCTCATAAGCTGTGATCACGCCGTTTGTTTCTGCAGGCTCAGCCCAGCTCAGCTGCGTCACGGTGGAGGAGATGACATTGAAAGCCAAGCGCCCAGGCTCACTGGGAACTACAGAGATGAAATGCAGAAACAATTCTGTAACAACTAACATACAGTATGGGAATGTTTGAATGCCTTTGAAGGCATTGAAGCTGGAAATAGCACAAGAGCTATATAATACAGTAATTTTAAATCAGATGCCTTAAAAAACAACCAAGTGCTTAATTTAGGATCATTCTCAACAAACTGGATCTTATGGGAATTCTAAAGTTACAATGTGAAGTTTGATGGATAAGTGTATATTAGTTTTAGGTATTAGTAAAAAAAAAAAAAAAGCAACAGACATAGAAAGAGCCAACCAGAAGATTAGTTCAATAATGGTAAACAATAACAAAAGAAATTGTGATGGGGACTCCACATTCATCTTATCCCAAGAACCTAGGAAAACAACCAGGTTTTTAATGATTGTCTGAATGTCATTTGGATGACAGCCATATGGGTCTCTAGGGGTGATGACATTCCAGAGGGCAAGTACTGTAACAGTGACAGCTCAGTTCCTGGTTTCCGTAAAATGGCAAAGTTTCATTGTTGGGACCTGGAACATACCAGCTCTGTCTGATGTCACTGGATGGGCAGAAATAGTTAGATTCTAACTCCGGGTTAAAGGTCTGGATGCCTCAACATAATCTTCCTGACCAGAGCCCTGTTTTGAGCTTCATCTGAATATGATTCATGAACATGCTGACACTTGATGGATTAGGCTTGCAGAATGGAATCCTTAGATGGCTCATTTTTCAATCAAACTCTGTGGGATGCAACCTTACCTTCCTCAAGTGTCCGACAGTGGACCACCTTAGAATAAAGCCCTTCACCCAAAGCGTTATAGGCACAGGACTGCATTTCATAATCACAGTAGGGGTACAGATTGGTCAGCTCTGCCGAAGGTACTTTGGAATCAAGCAGATGAGCCTCTGATTCAGGATCTCCTTGGATCCAATATTTTACCTGCAGTCCAAAGAGAAAGACTTTTCCTTTTAAAACTTTCCATAAGTGGCCAAGAAGTATTTACCATCACATAATTAAAAGATAAACAAGGAAAATTCTCATTCAAAAATGTTACTATCAATAAACGAATAGAATAAACCAGAGCTTTGCAAAGCAATGCCATAATTTTACAAGATATTCTTTTTATCCAGTGCTTCAAAACGTAGTGAACCTAGCCTTTACATTTTCAGAGTCATAATCCTAGAGTCAACCCTAGAAGGTTAGGATGCACATTCCTTAAATTATTATGTAATCTATAAGACTGCTTTCTCTTGTTTTTATAAAAAAGGGAGTCACCAAATCAATTCAGAATACAATCTATGGTGAGATACTGACTTGTTCATTTACTACTACTGTATGTTGAATAATGTACAGGCCTAACAGGCACTGCTTATTCTGATTCTTCCAACATTCTGCTTTTCCCCACATTACTCAGTGGCAGCTTCTACAGCCTGACATCACCTAGATATGCTGGGATTGCAATTACCACAATTCCCAAGAATTTAATCTAAATATCTTGGGGCCACCACACTGGAGAAGAGTTAAGGCTTGCATATCTTTAATAGCTCGGAGCCACACTTAATGTTTTGGTAAATGTAGAGTTTTAGTTGATTTTAAATCCAGATTAAAATATATCAGCACTTATGTTGCAGTTTTGTTTGTTTCTCATGTCAAAATGATGTGACACTATGCCTCTGATACTGTATAAACAGTATAACATTGAAAATACTGAAGGGCATTTTTTAAAAATGGAATCATAAGTTAGTATCAACAATGTTAATAGTGATGTTTGCTTCTACAGATAAATCATATGCAAAAGATGTTATGGAAGAAATAAGAAACAAGTTTTATTTCACAAGACAGAGATGGCATTGAAAACAGATCTACAAATGATAGAATATAGATGTATGTGCTCAGGGCTTTTTTTCTCACAGAACGCCCAGAATGGAGTTCCGGCACCTTTTTTGGATGGAACCTTATAGGGTAGGCAAGGCGGGTTGTATGACATGTGTGAGTTCCGGTACCTTTTTTTTTTAGAAAAAAAGCACTGTATGTGCTTATGGAGTGGCTATGCAACTTGTTTGGTCTGAGTGAGGATTGTTCTCTGATGCATAAGGAAAGGCATAAGAGTGAATTTAAAAACAACAGGGAATTAATTTATTAATAATATTTGGAAAACTGAATTCTGATTAAATGAGTGTAAGCAATGTGAATGAATAAAATCTTTAAAATGCAATGCAGGGGTTCTTTTGCTTTTTTAAAAATTAAAACAAAGGTGTATTTTCAAAGCAGTTAATATCTATACATGGATATATAATTACTGAAAATGTACAGTTAATGCTCAGTATAACATTAGTAAAAGATGAACCACACTAAAGTACATTGAGGTTTCATGATATTAAAAAAAATATAAATTATTGAGCTTATAAATACTTTTAAAAAGATAAAGTAGAATAACATAGCACCCTAAAACTAATATAGATAAGTATTTAATTTCGGCCTTCCCCCTGTTTTGTACTCCTACTTGCAATACCTATTGGCATAAACTTTAGGAATCATATCCTAAGTGTTAGTATTTTCCTTGCGTGTCTAGCAGTGCAGTGTTACGCATGAGCCCCGACTTTAGCGCACGGGACAAACAAGAGTGTGTTTCCCTCCATACACAACAGTCTTGCATGTCTTCATTGCTTTACTTTCCATACCTTATATCCTGCTGGTTTGCCTGGAGGGGGCAACCAATTGAAGCGGATCTTTCTAGAGCTTAACGCTTGGGCATTTGGATTAAGAGGTGCTGCAAGAATGCCTCTAGGAGAATATGGAAACTGAACCTCTGATGATATCTCATGCACATTTTCTGGAAGGAGAAAAAAGGTAGAGGAAATTACACTACTTTGTAAACAACTAAAAACAAGAATCACAGAAGTCAAATGGTAAAGGATTAAGTCATGTCATAAACTGGTAGAGGCACAACAGTTGCTTCTAGTTCACAGACCTGTTAAGTGGTTCTTCTTGAGAAAAAACTTGGGATAATAAGAGTTAAGTGGTATTAAACACAGGCCACGTTCTCGGGGATGATATCTGTATATGTTCTATTTAGCCTAATAAAAGGTTGTTTCTAGTTCTTTTCTGCTTTTTGCACAATATTTAACATTCTGAGACTGTTTACACAGAAGCAACATAGTTCAGATAAGAAAAATACACCTCAATATATGTTTTGATGATAAAATATGTGTATCCTGTAAGGGAGGTTGTGCAAAGTTATTTTGCACAGCGAAGAATCGGTTGGAATAATAAAATGATACATGTAGACATCTATTGCAAGGTAATATTGATCATAATATATAATACTATATGTCATACATCTAGATAAACTCCGCAAAGCAAAAATAAAACAGGTAATTATAAAAATTATTGTAACACTTTTATGGGATTTCATTAGTAGAATTATTTCTCTAATTGTATCCCTATTACCACATCAAATAATGGGTAAAATAATATCACTAAAATAGTCAAAGTGATGACTGGACATACATGATACAGCAGATCTCGCTGAAACTCAAAGCAACATTGAACAAATAGGATCTAATTGTTCAGTTACCACACTAATAACTTATGGATGAGAATATACTTTGTGGGAATCACATATATCAAGTTTCTTAATCTTAAATACTGAAGTCTCAATGGTTGCGTTTGCCAGAGCCTAGGTAATCAAGAAGTCTAAAAGTCTATACAATACAGCACAATAGGCAAATGATACTTAGACATCAAAATGAGAATTGTCATCAGAAATGAAAGTAGCTCACCTGGATCAACAATTGTCACTATGGTTTGAGGGTATTTGCCAACTTTTGCCCCAAACCTGGGGTTGATGAGATCTACTGCGAATTGTTTCAGCTGCTGGTTTCGAAGGAGAGTATCAATCTCTGACAACTCCACCAATTTGACTTGCATTTCCTTCTGCTTCTCTCCAGGCAGGAAGATCAGATCACCCTCCGTAAAAACATAATCCTGGAAAGGTAAAGAGAGAACACACTGAGCAAGATACTATTTTTAGATTAAAGTATTGAAACATTCATATCCTATCCTTTTGATCCAAAGGCACCACTCAGAGCAACTTACAACATTTTAGAAGATGGCCTGCATCTTGAGCCATACAAATGTATAGAAATATATTTTAAAAGTTCTGTACTATGTAATTGTTTCCATACTTTATCTATCAGAACCAGAATTGTATTTCACCAATATATATTTCATTCATTCTTTGAGAAAGAAGAACAAAATCTATATTGACATCTGTAATGCTATTGATTATCCACAAAGTAGCTACAAAGAAATGAGGATATGTTAGGGGGCCTTGGGAATATGCCCAGTGGGCTGATAATGGACTGAAAGCAATACCAGCAACTTCTTATTCCTAACTTGTTTCTCTTCCTCTCCTGCCTTGGCTATAGAAAGAAGATGGTGTAAGAGCTCAACTACAGAAAAGGCGAAATGTTTACTATATAAATTCTGCCTAACACAAACCATTGTCTCAGAGGACTTTTAAGCTTTCATCCCAATCTTTTCCTTCACAAAATGACTGTGCCCTCTGCTCCACTGAAGCTTAAAAATTCAATTGGCGGGGATGGAAGACCATTTTTTCCCTAAGACTTCCCTAAGACAGCCTCCTTCCTCTGAATACATTGGTCTCAATTGTGCCCCAAGCTAAACAAACACAAAGAAAAAGCAAAAACACTAAAGGCGCACTGCATTTTATCAAACAATGTTTAGTCTGCAGTTTTATGTTGCAAGATCTGCTAGTTTATCCAAGGCTTCCCCATTATTATTATTAAATTACCCTTAATTTAGATAGACAGCCTAAGGAGTCCCAGCAATGGAAAGATACGTTGCATAATAAACAATATATAATGCAGTAAACAAAAAGTCTACAGAGACTAATGAAAAACCACCTCATGTCAAATTAACTAAACTATAACCAAACCAAGAAGGAGTCAAGATCCAAGTGTCCTCTAGAAGAATTCTAGATGATTAGGGGTGGAGCCAACAGATCTCCAAGTGGGAGGTTGTTTGAAAAAACCATTTCAGCCACTGAAAAGAATTACTGTTGAATTTCAGCCCCCTTCAATTCCCTAAAATGGAATTTTTCTCAGGCATAACAAACTAGCCAGGCTAATTTCAGTGGGAAAATGTGGTTGTGCAGATAATTACCATCCAAGCCAGGTACTAGGTTAATACCAGGACATCCAAAACCTGTTGGCAACCAATATAGGGTCCACAGAGCTAGTCTAATATGGCAGGAATGCTTGCAGATTTGTCAATCTGCCTTGAGATCACATGTTATTGCTTCCTGCTCTCCTCACAGCTTTATACGCTTGGTAACAGAGAGATAATGAAGTATTACTGTACCCATTTGAAAAGCTGAAGCTAAAGTTTGCTTTTCTAAGTGATGTTCAGGATTTCATGCTTTTTCTAGAAGTTCCCTCTTTTATGCACAGGGCTACAATATGACCATGCAGTGGCCAAACATTTTTGTGGGACAGTTATGAGAACTCTTTTAGTTTTCACATAGTGCTTACTTTGCCTTGCTGAGCTGTGAGATCTCGTGTCCTGTATGTTATCTGGGATTTTCCCTTCTCCAATATTTCTCGAACCACAGGGATCTTAGCCAGCTGGTCAAAGCGGCTGTATGAATACACCGGCTCCAGGAAGCTAATGATGCTATTTGCTGAAGAGATACATAGATAATATGTTAACAATCTTAATCATCTAATAAAATAATGGTTTCATCTAGGCACTAGTTAGACATAGTGTTACATTAACAAGCAGGAAATATTACTTATTGCCCCCATTTCTAAGCTAGAGAACAAGATCCACACTTTAATATTCCTCCAACTAGTTTCTTGATATTTCGCATAGCCTAAGTTGGCAGCCAAGTTCAGAATGGTTTTTTTTTACTGGCATCCCCAATATTAACAGATATGTGTGTGCCTACCCTCTAAATGGATTTTGCTATGTCCTTCACCATTTTCATCCCTCCCTAAATGAATATGAGACTTGAAATACCATAAGCATCTGTTGCCAGAGAAAAATGGAAAACACGTTTATCACCCGTGATACTGCAGGCAGATCTACTCTTTTCATATAGCTATAATGATGATCTGTGACCTCATTACAGGCTTGCAAGTATCTGTTTATCTCCTAGACCAAGGGTAGGCAACCTTGGCTCTTTTATGACTCGTGGACTTTAACTCCCAGAATTCCTGAGCCAGCAGTTGAAGTCCACGAGTCATAAAAGAGCCAAGGTTGCCTACCCCTGTCCTAGACCCACTTATGGCAGAAATCAGCTTGACATTGGGGAAGACTTGGGAAATTTTCAAAAGATGAAATGAATGTCTTAAATATTTGCAAGGCTTAAGGCACTAATTCTACTTTTTAAAGTTCCTGCAATCCATTTACTCCAACTTTTGAACTTTCCTTTTCAGGGTGTGCTCTGAAGAGTTTGAAGGTGCTCTAAGTGTCACAAAAGGAGTTCTTCCATCTCTTGTTTATATTATATAGATAGGACACTTGATTTTTCAGGGAACCAAAAAGTTTTCTGACTGCCCATTAGAACAGAAGCCTTTTTTTCAGGAATGTGCTACATTTCACTGTGGTAAATTACAGAAGGCCCAGCCAGAGGTGATTGTCTGACAAACATTTGTCTTCCCCACTGCACGCTATCATACAACCTTGCTCTTTTATTATGGTGATGTTGACCTGGCGACGACCAAATTGCGCAGTGCCCACAGGAATATCAACAGCATCTACTTGCAGCTGTTTTTCATCATCATCCTCTTCCCTGATGAAGAGGGGGACCCGAACATCCACCAGCTCTACCCCTTCCTGAAACTCAATCAGGCCGTGGGCATCTGGAGTTTGGATGGAGGCAAAGGAAAGAAGAAGGATTAGTACACAACTGGAAAGCACTCCTTTTAAAACAATACTTTGGGTTCTTGTTATATAGTTACTCTTCTTTTCTGCATAATACGGGAGCGGTATTTGCATCATCACCATTTATTCCAGGAGTGGGCAACAGTCATTTTACTAGATGTTGCTGAGCTGCTGCAACTCCTAGTATTTGTCACGTTGGCCATGCTGGCCAGGACTGTTGGGAACTGAAGCTCAGCAACATTTAAAGGCTACAATTGAGCATCAATTGGATTTATCTTGATGTTTCGTCT